TCGTTCCCCATCCTGGCTCCGATAAATCAGGCCAGTTGTGCAGCAAGAGCACGGATGGATGCGATCAATAAATCGTCTGGTGAGGCCCCGTGCCCGCGGTTGCGCGGAAAAAAAAGCAGCCCGCCCTAGCGGCGGCTCTGCTGGATGCCGCCCCCAGTCGGTCCTTGGTTCGGCGCTGAGGCCGACCCCCACTTCTTCGACCACTTTGAGGTGCGCTCGGGGCAGATCGTGGAGGCTCACTGCTCGGATGGCGCGGGCGCTGAGCAGGGCACGATGCTGCTCGAGGTGGCGAGCACGGCTGCCGGCGCGGCGAGGGGTCGGCGGCTCGAGGCGGCGTGCAGGGCTACGCTGTAGTAAACTTTCCGGCTCGCGCACCGGCATGTGCACATGTGTAGATGTGTGGCTGTACACACATAGACACATCTACACCTTTTCGCACACCACCCAGCGTTATTACGTATGTACAAACACAGCTGCACAGTTCGTGCGCGCCGTCACCGCCAAGTATGGCTTGCCTCCGTTCTGTGCAGGCGACACCATGCCATGTTTCTACTAGGCGAGAAGGAGGTCGTGCCCCAATTTCACAAGGCACGTAACCCAACTTCAGGCATTATCGCAAGGGATTTCGTATTCAGTGGAGTTCGTTTTTCATACAAATATGTTGTTCCCTCTCTTTCATTTTCTTCCAACGTCTATATGCTATGAATGAGACACTGATCCAGAGGCCAGACAAAACATGGGGACAAACAGAAACAGAGGAAGAGAGAGGGAGAGACTGAGAGAGGCAGAGATAAATACATATAGAGAGAGAGAGAGAGAGAGAGAGAGAGAGAGAGAGAGAGAGAAATTGAGAGAGAGAGAGAGAGACAGAGAGGGAGAAGCAGAGAGACAATAAAAACACATGGAGAAAGATGGGAGAGAGAAACAACTTACTGTTCATGCAGGGAGAAGGACCGAGGGACAGAACACGTGGGGGCGAGGGACACGGGAAGACGGAGAGGCCGCGCGCTCGTGCGAGGAGGGGCGCATCGCGGCCAGAGGGGATCGGGAACGAACCCCCGCGGCCGCGAGGACATCAAGCGCCTGCTGATCCGCGTCGGCGGCCAGGGCAAGGAGGTGTGCTTCCTGCTGCCCGACACGCAGATCGCCAACGAGAACTTCCTGGAGGAGCCGCCCTTGCGGCGCCGCGCGCCTCCGTGGCCCCCCCCACCACCACCCACCCGGGGCCGAAAAGCCAGCGGCGCAGGGCCGGACGAGTGTGTGTGCCCCGTGCTGCTGCGGCCCGCATCCTGGGAGATGGTGGGCCTGTCTTCCACCACCACCATCGCCATGAGTTGGAGGGGGGAAGGAGGTGGATGATGAGGTGGAGGAGGAGGAGGAGGAGGATGAGGTGGAGGAGGAGGAGGAGGAGGAGGAGGAGGAGGAGGAGGAGGAGGAGGAGGAGGAGGAGGAGGAGGAGGAGGAGGAGGACCCCCTCCCCCTCCTGCTGATGGTGCTGGCGGTGGAAGACAGGCCCACCATCGTGGGAGACGTGGCGGCGCACCCCGAGGAGCCGCATTCGCAGGCCACAGCGTGCCCTTCCCCTCGGTTCCTCGTGCGCCTCGGCCGTCAGGCCGTGCCCCTGGCCGTAGCCCCTCTTCTTGAGTCGGGCCCGTCCCTCGATAGGAGGAGCATTCGAACATGGTGAACAACAGTATATACAGGGACCGATGTCTCAACTATTTTTTTTGAGGGGGGGCCATGTTCGAATCGTTTCGGGGCGTGTTTCATTTCTGGTCCAGAGTCCGCCTGTAGGGGGACATGCCCGACATGACCCGCTTCGTCTGCCGCCGGTGGCATGCGACTGACCTGGAGGCTCCGGGCGACGGCCTACCAGAACAAAGCGAATCCTCATCGGCGGCTCGAAGAAGGGGGGAGGGCCCGACGAGGTTTGCCGCGCTTTTGCCGGCCCTCTTGGAGACCCCTGGGCCCTTCTCAGAAGATACAGTGGAGGCGCGCACCAAGAAGCCAAGCGCTTCTCGCCAGGGTACCCTGGTTTTCTTGGATCCCCGTGCTGCGCGGTGGCTTGCCGCGGCCGTGAACGGAGCTGCTGCGCCCAGAGTGCTCCGGGCTTCTCCTCGGGTGTGCCTTGCGATTGCGCGCGGGTGTTCAGGGTTGGGCTTCCTGCGACGGTTGCTTGCGACCGAGCCCGCACTGTGTATGTCTCAGGAGGGGAAAAATCACACAGACATAATGAATCGTCGACTCCCCGGAACATGTGGGAAACCATGGGAAGTGGGGGGGGGGACGACCCAAACCCAGGAGATATGGGAAACTATGGGGAGTCCTGTGATTCGTCTGTATTTACGGTAGGTTTGCGTCGTGTCGACCAGCGGCGACCCCAGCGCGGGCGTTCAAGGTTGAACGCCGCCGGCGACCCAGAATCGATCGATGTTGAACGATCGGACGTTGCGGCAGCGGCCGATCGTTCAAGGTTGAACGATCCCTGCGGTTCAAAAAC